ATGCAGAGTATGTTCTCTGACCATCATGGAGTCAAATTAGAAATCATTCACAAAGTCAACAGGAAAATATCCAAACACTTGGAAACTAGACAACACACTTCTCATGAACACATAGCTCAAAAATGAAGTCATAAGGGAAATTTTTAAAAGTGCAATGAACTGAATGAAAAAGAAAATATATCAAAATTTGTAAAATGTAGCTAAAGTAGTGCTGATGGGAATTTATAGCACTAAATACTTAAATTAGAAAAGAGAAAAGGTTTTAATCAGGTAAGCTCCCACCTCAAGAGACGAGAAAAGGAAGAACAAAATAAAAAATTCAAAGCAAGCAGAAGGAAGACGATAATAAGAGGTAAGAGCAGAAATTAGTGAAATTGAAAACAGGAAAACAACAGATAAAACCAATGAGACAAAAACCTGTTTCTCTGAAAAGATCAATACTTTTACAAGATTGACTAAGATAAAGAGAAGACCAAGTCACTAACATCACAAATGAGATCTTAATACAGATCTTGCAGGCACTGAGGAAAATAAAGGAATTCTGTGAGGAACCTTATGTACATAAATTCAACAACTTAGATGAAATGGACCAATTCCTTGAAAACCCCAAACTACCAAAACTCAAGGAATATGATATTTATCATCTGAATAATCCAATAACCACTAAAATTGGATCTGTAATTTAAAAGGTCTTTAAAAAAGAACACTCCAGGTCCACATGGCTTTGCTGGAAAATTTTACCAACCATTTAAAGAATTAACACCAATTTTACACAATACATTCTAGAATACCAAAGAGGAGGGAACATTCTGTGCCAGGAGTCTCCAAAACCATTCCCAGCTTTGATGATTCATGATGAAGACTCAGAACACAGCATACAGTCATACTCATGGCTATGATTTATTACAGTGAGGGAATACAGAACAAAATCAGCAAAGGAAAAGGCACATGGAAGTCCAATGGAAACCAGGTACAAGCTTCCAAGAGTCCTCTTCCAGGTGTCATACAGGATGTACCAATTCCTCCAGCATACTTTCATACTTATTGTGACAATAAGTATAAAATATTTCTATCAGGGAAGTTCATTAGAAACTCAGCTCACAGGGCCTTCATTGAGGGTTGGTCATATAGGCAACCTCTATCACTTACCAAATTTCCAGATTCCCAGAAGGAAAGCAGATGTTTAGCATAAACTATAATGTTTGTACTAACAGATTAGGCACAGTGAACAGTCTTATCAGTCCTGTGAATGGTGGGAGCCTTCCCCAAATCCAAGTTCCAGATGCCATCCAAAGACCAACCTTACAAGCAGGCCTTTCAAAGGATAGCAGTCAGGCCTGCTATGTGAACTCTTTTCTGTATAGCTTGAGAATCAGGAGATTTGAGTCTAGTCCTAGCATAAATCACATTTGATCAAACAGTTTAGGTCTGGTGAGCCACTCTTATCAGTTCTCAGAATGGCGAGAAGTCTCCTGAAATCCAAGTTCCCAGATGCCTGCCAAGGGCCTGCTATGTTAACTCTTTTCTGCACAGCTTTCCAACTCATTTTATGAGGCCAGTGTTATCCTAATACCAAAAGCCAACAAAGACTGTTCCAAAAAACTCTCCAAACTATAAACTTCATATCTCTCATAAACTTTGACACAAAAATCTGCAACAAAATCGGCAATATAGAATCCAACAAGGTATACAAATAATTATACCATCGCTAAGTGGGGTTTATTCCAGTTATGCAAGGTTGGTTCAAAAATCAATATTCAATCAATGTAATCTACCATGTCCATAAGTTAAAGAAGAAAAATCATATGGTCATATCACTTGATGAAGAAAAAGCATTTGACAAAATTCAGCATTCATTCCTGATAAAAAAAACTCTCAGCAAACTATAGAGGGATACCTTCTCAACTTGATAAAGAGCATCTACAAAAAGCCCTGCAGCTAACATCATACTTATTGGCAAAAGATTGTTTCCCCCTAAGATAGGGAATAAGGGAAAGATGTCCACTCTCACCACCCTTATTCAACGTAGTACTAAATGCTCTAGCCAACACAATAAGAAAAGGAAATAAAAAGGTTTACAGATTAGAAAGGAAGAAATAAGACTGTCCCTATTCACAGACATGATTGTCTATATAGGAAATCCTAAAGAATCTACCAAAAAACTCCTAGAACTAGTGAGTTCAGCAAGGTCACAGGTTATAAGAGCAACACACAAAAATTAATTATATTTCTGTATACTAACAATGAACAATGAATGTGAAGATTAAAACAGAAAACAATACCATTTACAATCACTCTAAAGAAAGTGAAATATTTAGGTATACACTTAACAAAACACGCATAGGGTTTATATGCTAGAAATTCGAAAATGCTGATGAAAGAAGTCAAAGAAGATCTAAATAAATGGAGAAACAGATATATTGTGTTCATGGATTGGAAGACTCAATATACAGTGCTAAAGATGTCAATTCTCCCCAAATTGACCTATAGGTTTAATATAATTCCTCTCAAAATCCCAGCAAGTTTTTGTAGATACATAATAAGGCCATTCCAAAATTTATATAGAAAGGAAAATAACCTTGAATGGCTAAAACAATTTTGAAAAAGAGAATAAAGTGGGAGGAATTGCTCCACCCAATGTTAAGGCTTATTATTTTATATAGCTAGAGTAATCATGACTGGTATTCACAGAAGGGTAGACACATAGATCAATAGAACAGAAAAGAGAACCCAGAAATAGACCACACAAATAGCCCAACACAAATATGCCCAACTGGTTTTGACAAAGGTGCAAGAGCAAGTCGATGGAGGAAAAATAGTCATTTTATTTGAGCCATCAGACATCCATGGGGCAAATATATGAACCTCAATCTTAAAGTTCACATCTTATATAAAAATTGATTCAAAATGAATCATAGACTTAACTTGTGGGGGGAGGAGGGGAAAGGGCATTTTTTGAAACCTTAAAATTTGTACCCCCATAATATGCCGAAATAATATATATATATATATATAATAATAATAATTAGAAAATAGGCAAATGACACTTCAGGATATACAAATGGCAAATAAGCACATGAAAAGATGTTCAACATTATTACCCAATAGGGAAATGCAATTTAAAACAAATGCGGTATCACTGCACATCTATTAGAATGACTAAAAGAAAAAGATAGTGAAAATATCACATGCTGAGAAAGATGTGAAGAAACTGGATCTCTCATGCACTGCTGGTGGGAATATAAAATGGTATAGCCAGTCTGGGAAATTTGGCAGTTTCTTATAACACTAAACATACGCTTACCATCCAACCCAGATAACACTAAACATACACTTAACCATTTGACCCAGCAAGTGCACTCTTGGGAATTTGTCAAAGAGAAATAAAAACGTATATTTACACAAAAACTTCTACATGTTCATAGCACTTTTATTCTTTTTATTAGGCAAAAATTAGAAACAACCCAAATGTCCTTCAATGGGTGAATAGTTAAACTAATCACCATTCCATAGACTACTACTCAGCAATAAAAAGTAATGTACTATTGATGCATGCAACTTGGATGCATCTCGAGAAAATTATGCTGAGTGAAGAAAAGCTGATGTCAAAAGGTATGATTCTATTTATGTAATAATCTTAATATGATAAAATTATAGAAATGGAGAACATGTTAGGGGTTGCCAGGGATTGGAGTAGGGGAAGGAGGGTGACTGTGGCTATAAAGGGTAGAGGAGGAATCTTTGTGGTGGAGGAACAGTTTATTGTGGTGATTACACGAATCTACACTGTTAAAATTGCATAGAACTATATATACTGACTAAGAAATCAGTTCATACAAAATTGATGAACTCCAAATAAGGTCTATGGATTGCACAAATGTCAATATCTTGGTTTTGGTATTGCATTATAGTTATATAAGGTATTACCACTGGGAGAACTGGGTGAAGGTACGGTATATGGGACCGCTCTGTAATAATTTTTTACAACTTCCTATGAATCTATAATTATTTAAAAATAATTACAATAAAGTGAGGTAAGTCTGAAGGACTATGAATATTTTAGAACTCACACATTTGCATGTTATAAAATAGAATTACATCTTGAATATGGAAAATAGAAAATACAAAAGAGCCTACTCTATTGTTCACACTAGAAATGTAAATCAAAATGACTATATGAGTTCATCATAGTTGCACAGGGTACATTTCCAAACCCAGAGAGGTAGACCAAAAAGGTTTGCTGCTTAAACATCTGTACTGGTCAGGATTCAACCAAAGGACAACAACCCATAGGAAATTATTAATATATATATTCTATATATAAAACACATTGCAATTCATTCATTCATTTGAAGCTATTATTGTCTTAGACGATTGTGGGGCTGGCTGAAATCTGTATAGGACACGCAGTCAGAAAGTGAAGATCAGTAGTCTGGAACCAATGGGCACAGGCCAAAGCTGTCACCCATGGGCGAAATTTCTTCCGTCTCTTACGTACTCAGAAACCTCAGCCTTGATTTAAAGGCTTTCCAACTGATTCAGTCAGTCCACCTAGATTATCCAGGATATCTCCATTACTTTAAGTCAACTGATTAGGAACTTTCATTACATCAGCAACAGACCTCAACAGCAACACCTGGATTTGTGTTTGATGGAATAACTGTGGGCTGTAGCCTAATCAAACTGACACATCAGAACCGCCACACAACATCATAAACCATTTGTGCTTGCAATTGAATAAGTGTATTCTGTTAATAGCCACCTAGGCTTTATTATTTTAGGTAATTCAGGCACAAACGACGTAAATCAATAGTGGCCACCAAGTTTATATATGAGAGTACCACTTATAGAACTTTAGAGTTGGAAAGGGCCACGAAAAGCTTAGTTTGTTATCTCAACACAGCCAAGACGTCCCCACCTCATTCTCTGGGGCGCTCAGCCGGGCTGGGGCGCCTCGGGGCAGCAGCGCGCGCAGCATGGGGGGGGGGAGGAGAACCCACCTGGAGCGCGACGCCGCGGGTGCGGGAGCTCTATGTGGGCGGAGCTTCAAGGCCAGCGGGTGGCGACGGCGCCCAGCCCGCCAGAAGAGCGCGCGGCGGGCAGACGGCGGGGAACCAGTTGGGTAAGGCGAGCGCGGCCCGCTGTGGGTGGGGGGATAGGTTGGTTGGGGGGGAAGGAAGGAAAGGGAAGAGGCGGAGCGTGGGAGCGCACAGTGTCAGGAATACAATAGTGCTCCGCGCTGCCTCAGCCGCCGCCGCCCAACCGCCTGCCCAACGCTGAGGCCTGAGGGGCCGGGCGGGCGAGGGCCGAGGGCGGGAGCTGAGGCGCGGGGGGCGGCCCCGGCGGGGGTGAGGAGGGGATTAGGGGGCAGGTGCGAGGGAGGGAAGAGAAGAAAGCAAGCGGTTAGGGGGGCGGTTACCATCCCTACCGGACTCGCCGGCACAGTGCCGGGCCGCAGTGTGGAGCCGGGAAGGAGTGGCGACCCGGCTGCGCGAAGGTAGGCGCCACTGTGCCAGTACACGGCGCGAGCGAGGTTGGGGGCGGCACGCCGGGTGGGCGGCGGGAGTAGCAGCCTGGGCGAGTTGAAGCCGGCGACGGGGTGCGCAAGGTCCCGGCCCGGCCTCGCCGTGGTCCGGGTCGCTCCGGCTCCACATAGTGGTCGCCTCCGGCGTCTCTAGCGCCTTCGGGCCGAGAGCGTGTGTGGGCTGAGGTAAAGTGACTGGTGACCCCTCTGCTGGCCAGGGCAGTGCCTGGTGGCCCGGGCGGGGGGCGGGGGCGGACGCGCGAGCTTGGCCGCAGCTCCCGGCTACACCGGGCAGGAATTGAGCGCCATAACTGTTGCGGTTTCCTCCGGTGCCCCCTCCCGGCGCCCCCTACCTCCCTGCCCTTTGCCTGGTTTCGGGACTCTACCGGGCCAGACCCGTGGCCGGAGGACCTGCTCTGCCCGCCGCCTGGGGTCGGATGCTTCAGGGAGCGAGGGCGTGCCCTGGCTGTTTCGTTGTTGGGGGGGCGGAAAGAGCCGAGTTCCTTGAGAGGGGAGGTACCCCAAGAAGCTCGGGTGCTCCCCAAGCGGGAGTGCCGGCGCCCCTCGGACCGGCGAACTTTCCCTCCCCCTCCCGTCATTGTTCGGACTCTGCGGGTCCTTGGCCACTGAGCGCCGGGCGATCTTGAGGTGTGGGAAGATCGCGAGGGCTTTGTAAGTCTTTGTGGGAAATTTTCCCACCACAGAGCACGGCAAAGTTCTTAACTTTTCTCCAGCTCTCGAGTTCGTTTTATTCCCTTCGCCATGGGGGCCATAGATTTGTTTAAAATAGCCTTCAGTCTTTTTCTCTCGCTTTTCAGAGCAGAGCCACTACTTCGGTGAAGTCTGGCTTTAAATTGCACAGGACAACCTGCGTTTATTATTTGTGCCAAGAAAGGGGGCGGGGATCTGGAGTGAATGACCGTAATGGTGGTATGTGAAGGCACGTTTAAAAGTTTATATCGTTGTGCAGCCCTGGGACATATGTAGCTCCTAGGGATTTGGCAAGAAACTTGTTTGGCCGCTTCTCCGACTTTCTGAGTTGCAAGGAAATCCATGGCCTCAGATACGCGCGAGTTCTTTTTTTTTTCCTTCCTGAGATGCGTTTATCTGTGATGCTGAGGATAAAATCCCCGCTCCCCAGCCCCTCTGCCGTCTGATTGTGTAAGAAATCAAAACCGTGTTGACGGTGATTCCACTGGCCTAGAGGGAAAGGCGACCTCCTTCCCTGTGTTCAGTCTGATAGAGATAACTGCTTTCTCTCTAAACTCCGAAAGTAACGAAAAATAATTTAGGTTAAAAACTGATTGCACATCTTTGCTTAGTTTAAGCAACCCAGAATCCACTTTCCTAGAGTAGGTCTTCCCTGCAGCCACTTCTTGTCAGCCTGGGCAGGGGGTTTGGGGTGAGCATATGAGAAGAGGAGTTGACTTGAACAAAGCATCGTGTTTTTATTTAGTTTAATACTTTCAAAACATCTGTAGACCATGGGAATGTGGATCCTGGCCTTTGTACCCTTTGAGCAATGTAAGTTCTCTCATGCTTTTATAGCATCATGTGATTATTCTCCGGATAAGTGAAAATAGATTTTTTTCTTTTTTGTTTAGCCTAGGAGTATTCTACCTCTATAACATATCATTTTCTCTTTCATTTAAAGGGAAATCTGAGCTTAAATACTTAAAACTGTAAAAGAAAATACACTCTTCAAGGATTACCTGAAGTCTTTGGGAAGTGCTTCTCAGAGCACATATTAAGCTCTCAATCAGTGTTAGTTACCATCATTGCCACCTTTTTCCTCAATTGTGTTCTTCTCCACACTTCTGTTTGCTGAAGAAGAGCTCTTAACCCAAGCTCTTAATCCAGTCAGTTCTGGAATATTCAGGGGTGCAGATCTGGTTCTAGAATCCACACTTTCTCCCCTCTTTTCTGAGTCATGTTGTTTGGCCTTAGCAGTGTGACGTGAATCTTGGTCACAGATAGGGAAAAGTAGAGAAGGTCCTCCCACTTCTCCTTGAAGTGTTTATGATCAGCTGGGAGCCAGGAATGACTTGGAAGCAGCCTTAGGGGCACCTGTGACTCACCTTCTAGCCTGTAGAGGAGGTTCCCAGGAGCAGGACAGGTGATGGTGCAGGGTTGTCATCATAGCTAAGAAGTATGGATTGGTGAAAGTTAAAGAACAGAGGATGTTGAAGGCTGGTAGGTTTAGTAGGGTGCCCTCCTTTAATAATGCTTGTCTTTTCCCTCTGTTTTTTTCCAACCATACAGCCCATTTCTGGTGAAGACATGACATTGCTGGAGGCTCTTACAAGCCTTGATCAGGGTTACAGAGACTCAGGCCAAAAAAGGAAGTTGAACATTATCATAGGACATAATGCACCTATCTCCTCATGGGCCTTACACAAAATAAGACCTGAGGAAGATAGTGGTAATATGCCGGCTTACATTAAGAAAATCTCTTATCAGGGAGTAAATTACTGTGACCTCAATTTACCTTATAGGTGAGAGGTGGGTGTTGGGTGACACCCATCTGGAACTCTCCTGACTTGGGGACACCTGAATGGCTCACAAGTTTCTTTTTTGGGGGGGCCTATTTCTGGGCTGTCTATTCTTTTTTTCATATATATATATTTTGGTATATTATGGGGGTACAGATTTTAAGGTTTCAGTAAATGCCCTTTCCCCTCCTCCCCCCACAAGTCTGACTTTACAGCATGACCATCCCCCAGATGGTGCACATCTCTCTATTATGTATGTATATACCCGCCCCCCTCCCATCTGCCCAGTACCCTATTACTATAGTACCTATGTGTCCACTTAGGCGCTGCTCAGTTAATACCAATTTGCTGGTGAGTATATGTGGTGCTTGTTTTTCCATTCTTGAGAAACTTCACTTAGTAGTATGGGTTCCAGCTCTAACCAGGAAAATATAAGATGTGCTATATCACCGTTGTTTCTTAGAGCTGAATAGTACTCCATGGTATACATATACCACATTTTATTAATCCATTCTTGGATTGATGGGCACTTGGGCTGTTTTCACAGCCTTGCAATTATGAATTGTGCTGCTATAAACATTTGAGTGCAGGTGTCTTTTTTGTAGAGTGTCATTGGATCTTTTGGGTAGATGCCCATTAGTGGGATTGCTGGATCAAATGGTAGATTCACTTGTATCGCTTTAAGGTATCTCTATATTGCTTTCCACAGAGGTTGAACTAGTTTGCAGTCCCACCAGCAGTGTAGGAGTGTTCCTTTCTCTCCGCATCCACGCCAGCATTTATTGTTTGGAGACTTTTTGATAAAGGCGATTCTCACTGGAGTTAAGTGATATCTCATTGTGGTTTTGATTTGCATTTCCCTGATGATTAGAGATGTTGAGCATTTTTTCATATGTTTGTTGGCCATTCTTCTGCCTTCTTTAGAAAAGTTTCTGTTCAAGTCCTTTGCCCACTTTTTAATAGGGTTATTTGATTTTTTTTCTTGCTGATTTTCGTGAGTTCTAAGTGTATTCTAGTTATCAGCCCCTTATCAGATGTGTAGGATGCAAAAATTTTTTCCCATTCTGTAGGTTGTCTGTTTACTTTCATGACTGTTTCTTTGGCTGTGCAGAAGCTTTTTAATTTGATCATGTCCCATTTATTTATTTTTGTTGCTGCTGTGATTGCCTTTGGGGACTTCTTCATAAACTCTTTGCCTAGGCTGATGTCTGGGAGAGTGTTTCCAACATTTTCTTCTAGAATTCTAGTAGTTTCATGCCTTAGGTTTAAGTCTGTTATCCAGCGTGAGTTGATTTGGGGGCTCACAAGTTTCTGTCGTTCCAGTTACAGTGGTTGGGAAAGCTAAAGCATTCTGGCTTAGGGGGTGGGGAGTATCTAGGATGAGTGTGTACAAGTGATGAAAGAATAAAAGGGTGCTAGCAAGTGATCATTACAGACCAAATAACTACCACTTTCAGTCTTCTGTGTTCTGGAATCTTTGTGACTCCCCCATGGATATTTTTGCCTCCTCCCTGTAGGTCTTTCTGTAGACAATAGCAGCAAAGGCCTTACCATCAGAACTGCCTCTGTGCTTCTCTTGGAGGAGAGCAAGAAAAAAGGGTCCTGGTAAAAACTTGCATGATCCCACAGCTAGGCTTAGAGAAAGAAAGGTAAGAATTCAGAGGGTAGTCAACTGAAGAAAGTAAGGGGCCTGGTGTGGGGAAATAATACTGGGGCTTTGACCAATAGTAGACACCTATGAATTCATGAATACTTTTCAAGTGGCAAATGATTTAATCTCTGCCCCAACCCAAAAACCATGTCTATGCCCTGCTACCCAAGGAGCTCCTTTTCCCTTAATATTGGCTGATATGCAAGGAAGGAAACCTGGGCCTGGAGTGCGTTTTTTGGGACTGCTGACAAGAAAATATGGTACCAGCGTGGCCAGTATTGTGTATTGTAATCTCCTGGGAAACTTATTCTTTTTTAGATTATAAAAACTTATTTGATATAATATTATAAAAATGTTGCAAGAATAGTACAAAGAACTCACTATATTCCCTTTACCCAAGGTCACCTGTTATTTAGTTTGCTCTCATTTG